CCTAAGGTACAGTAGGTGGCAACAAATATTTAACCCCCTGGAGGTAACTAGCGGTTTTACGCTGACGCTAGCCTTAGAAAGGCAGCTATAGCACGCTACTTTAAAGCTATAAGGGTTAAGATTATATATATTTGCTATAATCTACTATAAGTCTACTAAGCTTTCTTAGGGTTAGGGTTAATAGCATTAGCTTAAAGTAATATTATTATTATTATTAATTTACCTCTGTTATTCTGTAGGATATTAGGTACCTCTATCCCTTTAGCAGTGTTAAAGGAGCAAGCAGGTCACGAGATCCACAAGAGAAGGAGACGGAGAGGTACTAACTAGGCCTTATCTATAGTAGGTGTGCAAAAGTCACACCAAAAGTGGATTTTACACCAAAACATATACTTTTTAATAAGCTATATTAGTATATATAGTACTATTAAAAATATAGTTTAATTATAAATAAATAATATAAGTTAAATATTTTAAGTTTACTTATATAATTTTTTAAAATTTAATTCTTTTAAAACTTTATTAAAGTATTTAAAAATTTAAGATTTTTTAAAATATCTTATTTTTTTTAATTTTTAACTTAATTTAATATTTTATATATAAAATAATTATTTACTATATTTAATTAAATACTTATTTATATAAATAAGTTATTTTATTTTAAAAGAACTTATAATTTCTTTTTATAAATTAAATAAAATTATTTTTATAAAATTTAAAAAACTTATAAAAAGTATACTTTTTTAAATCTTAATTTAATATCTTATCTTTTATATAAAACTTATAAAAAACTTATTTTATATAATAAAAGATATAAATTATTATATTATATTTATTTGATAATTTTAAACTTAATATAATTTTAAATATATAATACTAAAATCTTAAAGTTATCTTTTTTTAAAGATTTTAAGATTATATTTATAAATTTATTTTATTTTATTATTTTATATAATTATAATAATTTTATAACTAAAGTTTCTAAAACTATTTTTAGTTTTTTATTATTATTATTAGTTAATTAGTTATAGCTATTTAAACTTATTTTTTCTTACTTTAGGGTAGGAGCTCTTTTTTTTTTAGCGTTACTTTTACAAACCCACTGTATATGCCTGGTAAGAAAGTCATTTTCAGTATAGGCGTATGCTATAGTACTTTATAGTTACGCTAAAATCACTACTAAGGGTAAGTACTATAGGTTTTAACGTTATATAATTAGATAACACCCTTGTAAAATACCTGCTTGCTCCTTTAACACAGCTAAAGGGATAATGTTAATAGTATAGGAAAAACCGTTGCCTAAAACACCTGCTCCAGGGCCTTACTACCCCCGACCTATACCCGACCCAGGTGAAAACCTACACTTTACCTTAAAGTAATATTATTATTATCATTATTAAATTACCCTAGTTAAGCTTATAGCTTATCTAGAACTTCTATAATTTATAATTATAGGAAAAACTATAACTAAGTTATATTACTTTACTATACTAGGTATAGACCTAGTCTAGGTAAAAACCTATCTTCCTTTATATACTATTTATTATTATATTATAATTCCTAGTATTTATTAAGATCTAGTAATACTCTATAAATAAAATACTAATCTACTACTAAAGACTATATCTTATATTATTTATTAATTAATTATTTTATATAAGTATATTAAAATTTATATTATCTATA